AACCTGAGATCAGCCCCAAAATAAAGTGATCATACTTCCTCATAAAAACGAACTATTGTTGGGATATCCCAAAAATTATTCTGTTAAGTCTAACTCTATCCTTGGACTTGAAATTGTGTTATTTTCTTATTGGTCAATATTTACTTCACGTGTCGTTTTCCTACTGGTTAGTATTGTACAATGTTATTTTCTATTTTATGGTACGATGTGGTCTGCTTGATTGGTATATAAACAGAGTATGTTTGAAATATAATGATTCATATATCCGAGGATGAGACCTGCGTTCTGAACTCAACTGGCTGGGCTAGACAGGGAAGCGGGACTAATCAGAACCCTAGGTCGTTCTTACGTGTTTGCGCGTCTTTGGACCGATCGATAATTCACTGTCCTCTAATCTGCCGTCACAGTTATAGCAACTATCATAGATCCAAAAGACCTGTGACTAACAATCTGGGATTTGACCTTCACTGGAGATAGCAACAGCCATTGGAGAGGGAAGGGATACAATGATATTCAACTGACAAGATTCAAGTCAACTCAAAAATGCATCCTCCATTCAACTAATAATTGCTGCCAAACAGAATAAAAAAGAATATTTTGTACATAAAAAGTAAAGATGTTGAGTATTATTTCACAAAAAGTGTGTCAATCTAAGCGTAAAACTAGGTATATTTGAATTTTCCAAGCAATGAAACAACCCGTTCACGATAAGTGAAACCAATAGTTTCCTATAGTTCGTTTGACAATGGAAAAAGAATAGTCTGATCTATAATGAGCAACTGTTGGTCAATGTGAATACTATTAACATTATTGGAAACCACTCCATTAGACTAAACGATATTTACGTAGTCAGTTGTTCATACAGTAAGTGCTATGAGTTCTAAAACAACAGATTAGTAACTCCATACCGAATTATGTAGTTTAAAACACCATTTACTTGAAAAAAAATGTTCAGGGAAATCGCTTTTCGGAATAACATGATCGTAAACATTCGATCGTTATACATTCCAAACTAAAGGTTGTAATATTCACAAAATACGGTTGTCATATGACATTCATGATCTCGATTAAAATCCAACAATCTCCATAACCCTATACTGATAATTATTATGTGCTTACTAGTGAATAGTTCTGATAGGTAATTCTCGCAGTTTTAGTGAGAAGCCGTGACTAGTGGAGTTCAACCATGTCTGTTGTGAGGCAGCTACTCGATGAAGACAATGGTGGACGATCTCGCGATATCGTGGATTGGTTGAAGATAAAGATTAACACCGTTGGATGCCGTCTGCTTCAGTGGCCTACAAACGAGGCGTTCGTGCGTCAGACCGAAGATCGTAAGTTCGAATCCCACATGCAGAATCTAAGATACGCACTGTTGAGGAGTCGCAATGCTAGGATGAAACGGCTGCCTAGTGCTTCCAGGTTTTCAATGTCAGTTTAATATTGTTTGGTTCAATTCAATTAAAACATTACTAAAAATTTAAGATTTATATAGAACAGATAGAATTCAGTAGCTAAAATTAAAATCCAATACATTTCATTTGTTTCTATGGTAGAATATAAAATAAAAAATTTATCTTACTTTCATTTAAATTGAGTTAGTTATAAAGTCATCAAATGTATTAAAGTAAAAAGTTCACCATATAATTTTTGTAAATAATCAACTTTTATTAAAATAAGTATAAAGAAATAGTGGATAAAAGTAGGAGGTATATAAGTAAATCGCAGAAAACAATTCTCTTTAAATCGATTGAAATGACTTTTTTTAAAGTAAATGCTTAAAATTAATTCTTATTACAAATCGATAATAATTAGAACAATCACATGTCTATTATTAATGAGTATTACCATAATGATTTATTCTGGGAAAAAGTGATTAATTAGGAAGACATTTTTCAGATAACATTGAAACTGTCAGCATTTATTTGCCTGATAACAAATTTTTATGATGAAGGTACCATTTTGTTTCCTTTAAAAAAAAACTATTATTCTTGTGCATCCAAAGTACACTTTACGCGTGTGTGCGCATGTTTGTGCAACGAACCTAACGTATGAAACGACTCAACTGAAGAACACAATACATAATAGAAATCATTATCAATAAAAACATTATTGATTTATCTACATTAGACACACTGATAGAAATATCTCTATGAAATTGCGATTACACAAATACGTTTAGATATAGAATGAATAATGTATTAGTGTATTTTCTTTAACATGTAATCAGAGAATTCGGAATTAACAGTAGTAATATTCTTAGAAGAATGAATAGTTATTTCATGGATGTTGTGTAGAACACTCGATTGCTATCACGTAACCACATTCGTATTGTTAAGAATTAGTTGTCACCGCCTATTCACATATAGTTATTCCTATATTAGGACTGCAAATGATCGTGAACACTAGTGTCTATTATTTTTAATTATAGGCATCTGATTAGGCATTCGAAATGTGTTCCATTTCAGATAAGATCTGAGTTATTTTGAGCTCACTATTTAGTGTTGAAATGAGTGCTATGACGCTCAGGTCACTTCATTCTATTTCGATGGATTTAGTTCGGAGGTAACGAATGATTTTGAAGCTGTCACTGGGACGTTATCAACACACTGAATTCGACTTATTTCATATCCGGATACTGATTGCTTCAGTGTGCACACTTGAAATATCATCTTGTTTCCCAAACTAGGACCGGACAACATCCCAGCAGAGGCACTAAAAGAAGACGTAGCGGCAACTGCACGGATACTCCACATTCTCTTCAATAAGATTTGGGATGGGGAACAAGTACCAACAGACTGGAAAGGACTTCTGATCAAAATACCGAAGAAAGGCGATCTCAGCAAGTGTGATAACTACAGGGGCATCACTCTTCTCTCAATACCGGGAAAAGTCTTCAACAGAGTATTGTTAAACAGGATGAAGGACTGCGTAGACGCCCAACTTCGTGACCAACAGGCAGGATTCCGTAAGGATAGATCGTGTACAGACCAAATCGCAACTCTACGGATCATTGTGGAACAATCAATTGAATGGAATTCATCACTCTACATCAACTTCATTGACTACGAAAAGGCATTTGATAGCGTGGACAGAACAACACTATGGAAACTTCTTCGACACTACGGCGTGCCTTAGAAGATAGTCAATATCATACGAAATGCATATGATGGATTACACTGCAAAATTGTGCATGGAGGACAGTTGACAAAGTCGTTCGAAGTGAAGACCGGTGTTAGGCAAGGTTGCTTACTCTCACCCTTTCTCTTTCTCCTGGTGATCGACTGGATCATGAAGACGTCAACATCTGAAGGGAAGCACAGGATACAATGGACATCTAGGATGCAGTTGGATGATCTAGACTTCGCAGATGATCTGGCTCTTCTATCGCAAACCCAACAACAAACGCAGGAGAAGACGAACAGTGTGGCAGCAGCCTCAGCAGCAATAGGTCTCAATATACACAAAGGGAAAAGCAGGATTCTCCGATACAACACAGAATGCACCAATCCAATCACAATTGACGGAGAAGATTTGGAAGATGTAAAAACCTTTACGTATTTGGGCAGCATCATTGATGAACATGGTGGATCTGATGCAGATGTGAAGGCGCGGATCGGCAAAGCAAGAGCAGCATATTTACAACTGAGGAACATCTGGAACTCAAAACAACTGTCAACCAACACCAAGGTCAGGATTTTCAATACAAATGTCAAGACAGTTCTACTGTATGGGGCAGAAACCTGGAGAACTACAAAAGCCATCATCCAGAAAATACAGGTGTTTATTAACAATTGTCTACGCAAAATACTTCAGATCCATTGGCCGGACACTATTAGCAACAACGTACTGTGGGAGAGAACAAACCAGATCCCAGTGGAGGAAGAAATCAGGAAGAAGCGCTGGAAGTGGATAGGACACACATTGAGGAAAGCACCCAACTGCGTCACAAGACAAGCCCTCACATGGAATCCTGAAGGTCAAAGGAAAAGAGGAAGACCAAAGAACACATTACGCCGAGAAATGGAGATAGACATGAGAAAAATGAGCAAGAATTGGATGGAACTAGAAAAGAAGGCCCAGGACAGAGTGGGTTGGAGAATGCTGGTCAGCGGCCTATGCTCCATTGGGAGTAACAGGCGTAAGTAAGTAAGTTCCCAAACTATTCACGATTGATCACATAGCGTGGTGAAGTTGTTTAAGAATCAGTATCATGTCAACTGAAACATGGGTATCATACACACTATTTTGAGTAAACAATCTGTCTAATCTGTAAACACTTAAAACTTTAAAAAAGAAAAACAATTTCAAGATCAGTACAACGAACCAATCCTTAATGGTAAAGTCAAATAAACTACCAGAGTAAATAATCAATCCTATCATTCAGATAGTTTGTTTATAGAGATTTAGTCTGAAGATAAGTTTCTGTGATAAACTATAAAAAATTAGGAACCAATAGAAAGGTAATTTTTTCGACCTGACTTGAGAATTTTCAGCAATGAGTCATATCATATCGAACTTAAAACATTTAAGTCTAATAGTAAGTGAAGTTTCCTCAGAAAACTTAATCAGAGAGGATTCCAATTGAACTTTGATCCAAATGGTTTACCTGTAAATATTAATCTGTAATCAGGCCTACATCTTTAAGTGAAGGTAAATTGTAGAAATCGAATGACACCAAATCATGTCGTTCATCTTTTAGTCAGAAAAACATAATTCCTTTAGAACATTAAAAATAATAATAAGCTTATGGGATATAACATAAAGAAAGAGGATGAATGAGAAGTATTTCTGAATAGCATAATTGATCACTGAATGAGTTCCAGAAGAAGGCACACACTAGATGATGTTTTTGTATGTTATTATCCCTAGGTAATATAAAATCCAATCAAGCTGTAGTGAATAATAACGATAAAAAACATGAGTATGCTTCATTTGTGAAATAAAGAGGAAGTACGACCATTAACATTATTATCATTACCATTAGTATTTTGTATTACCTGCTACAACTTGAGCATAAAGTAAGAGAATCAAGAATTTCACGAGATGAAGTTGTACAATTTGAATCCGTATAAAATACATTATTATTAATACTACTAATGCTATTATCATTATGAATACAGTGATTATTTCCATTATTATTTGGCAGCCATAAATTACGTCCAGAACCAAACCAATGTTGATCGGAATCAGAAGATTGACTAACTGTTACTAAATTACAATCGTCAGACAATGATGTTGACGACAAATCGAAACTGACCGAATTTCTTCGTCTATTTTTCATTTTTTTCTTGTATTTATTAATGTAGATAGATTTTGTGCGTGTTTCTGGAGTACAGAATAACGGTTCAGATTTGATAAAAATACTTTCATTACTTCCACCAATATTATTTTCATCATAATTATTACAATAATCACTATGATGATAGGAATTTACATTATCATGAAATGAAATCCGATCATATTCTTCAGGCCAATAAATTCCACGATCACAAATATCAGCGTCAACATCACCACCACAACTAGTGATATTCCACTGGTTATTGCAACGTCTTGTTGTACCTTTAATACACGAAATAATACTATGACGAAAGGATGATCTTTTTAGTTGATAATTTTCATATAGTCCTTCGTTTCGTTCTAATTCTTCGATAAGATGATTATCAGCATAATTATCGACTAACTGTTGACAGTTTTCAACTATAAAATTATTATTTTCATTGTAGTGTAAACATTGTCCCAGTGAACCAACTCCATCTTCTACATGCATCTGTGTCTCTTTTTCCTTATTGTTAAAGTAGTCTTTTTCTGCTTCATTATCCTCTTCTATGTATTCTTCTGCTTCTTCTTCTTCCCCCAACTCCTCCTCCTCTTCTTCGGGTATTGAAGCTGGTCGATTTGTATTCAGTATACAACAACGATTTAAATGTGATAATTTACTTTTAGCCATTTTACGAAATTGACTAATGAACAATGGAGAAGATGAATATTTATCAATGGAAATATTGACATCGCCTGGTAGCTTATTAATTTCATCTGGATGATTATTTAATAAATAAGTGTAATAGTAATAATCCAATTTGGGTGCATTGAAGTATTGTCGTTGTAATGATGATGGTTGTCCTTTTCGTTCGGATTCTCCTTCTTCATTTTGTTGTAATTGTTTATAAACACTTGGTCTTACAAGCATTATGAATGCAATAACACAATATTATAAATGGTATAATGTAAGCAAATACATTGAAATAATCATAATTTCGATAGAATATAAGAGAAGTGAATTAATCATTATTTATTCAAGTGAATGAATTAGTTTTATTTCAAAAATGATAAAATAATGTTTAAATAATAAAAAGAATGTAAAATAATGGATGTACATAAATGCTCAAATTAAAATTATTCTTTGAGAAAAATAGTTCAAATGAGATCATCAACTTGTAATGTAAATCTCTGTTTATATTGAGTTTTTCAATGTATGTATATTAGAAATAACATACATTGGTTAGATAATCGTTATTTCTCAAGGTCTAGTTAATTAAAAGCACATACAAACACTTAATAATACACGTAGACTTTGTGTGCATATATATATATATATATATATATATATATATATATATATATATATATATATATATAATGCACAAAAACAAATTTGTGCAACACCTTGAAGAAAAAAGGTCGATTATAACACGCGCAGACACATTCATATACACACATAAAATATATACGTACAAACAAACAATATAATTTTAACAGTTGATATAAAACTTGGTGTTACACAATGATCAGTTTTTTTATTTATTGAATAACTTAAATGTGATAAAAGGTTTAATTACAACACCAAATGTTATGATTAATTATTTTGTTTAATAATCAACATTATTATTAGTCAGTGAGTTGTTAACCTTGACAAAGTCATTTGTTAATCAGTTTAACAACTATCGATATCAAATTTACACTGTAACGTTTTTTTTCTCTCATTCTTAAAGGGAAAGACGAAATAGATGGTAACGATGGCTGCATATGAAACAACAATATAAAACTGATGGAACAATAAAACATTGAAAAAAGAAAATATGAGTACAGAGACAGTGAGAAAGAGGTGATGTCTTAACATACGAAACTGATATATATATATATATATTGAGCAGATGAACTAGATTTCGACTATTAGAAGAAAAACATAGAATGATTCAGACACAAACATTTGTAGACAAAATTAAATAAAGATGGATAGTTTTGCATAATTATGAATAGTAGTTGGTTTGTATGTATACAAACAGAAGAAATATTAAGAGGTACACTGAGTGGATAAGAGAGTAGGGAATAGGGCGCCTAAATCGAATAGAACACTCAAATATCTATACAGTATATTTACCGTGTAGCATTAAAAATTATTGACAAGCCAGTATAACACATACAAACATGTATCTGTAAACGATCAATATAAAATACTGATAATAATTACTAATCTTTAAACAAATAAACAAACAAACATACATACATATACACAAAGAAACTTTATTTTAGTGATTAGTGTTAGTCAGTAGAGTAAATAAATGAATGATTTATCTTAACTGATACAATTCCACACAGTAATATATATAGTGTGATTAATCACTGGAGTCAGTGTAGACAATTCTGCTAATATGAAATTGCAGACGAGCTATTTTATTTTTTATCTTTAAAGAAAGCCAACTATTAAACAACAATAACAACAACAGGGTTGTCCTATGTCTGTCGACGATTATTTTCCATCAAATTTGTTTAAAACAGAAAATATGAATTAAATATTTTAATAACAAGTAGGCATAGACATAAATGTATATTTAAATTAAATTAAACATAAAGACAGCATTATCTCATAAAACAGTGATGGAAGTGTGAGTAAGGAAGATCAAAAAGAATTGAAGTATTGAATACTGCTTGTTGACTAATCTTTCATTTTATATAATTAGAGTCAATAAAAATAATAAATTGTAATTCTAGTTCAAAATAAGGTCAAATTCTTACTGTTAGTATTTCATAGTTAAATTTCTGAAATTCATTCGCAAAACCTACATGAACTTTGAAAGTATCCTGGTGTATTGTAGTGTTTTATTGCAATAATAAAAGTATTTGGATGACCCAAATTACTCAATAAGTTGTTAGAACAATCACTAGACTGGTAATTTGCTCATGTAGATACGATGAGTTACACTTATCACATAATAAATGTGACGATTAATTCTCAACATAAACGAGGTAGTGGTATCGTTGGATGAGATATTAACAAAATTTGCATAATTGTGACTTTACTTAACCATTTCCTTAATGTTACCTGAATGCAGTCGAAAGTAAACCAGTGCAGTCTCTCTAATAAACGTTTGAATTATAGTAAAATAAGAAGCCACAAAACTAAGAAGACCATACAACGAAATCATGTAAGATAGAATTCCTCTATTAATAGTGAGTCAGTTTGATAGATATTGACATGTGTTTTGAGTAAACCACGGTTTTCTCAAAAAATACTGATGCTACTGTGATTGTAACCAATAATGCCATTAAATCAAGAACTAGTAAAATAATTCAAATGACTGAAATTTTATGAAAACGTTTATTATTCGATAAACTACAATTGTGTGGTCTAAATTAACCAGGAAGTGATGGTATTAGGTCTGAATATGTTTCGTAGACACGCACGGACATAGTGAAGAGAAAGAGAACCATAGTGCAGAGCAAAGATAAGTATCAAGTGTGGAAGTACCACCATTCTTTTTTCTTTTACGGTGTATTTAAAACTATAAACCATGAAGCTAAATTGGTACAACTTATTGTTCCTAACAGGTGTTTTAAATGCCTCAAATCCGGACATGAATCAATTTCCTGTCTGGTTACAACTCACTGTAGAAAGATCAACTGGAATAATCGACATAGCAATCTAATGAATATCGCTAAGCCTAAAGATGCACCATCGGTTGTCAACATAAGATCCGTGAACACTAGACATCCATTCACTTACATTGAACTAGTTCGATTATTTGAACTTTTAGATTCAGAAAAATGTGAGTATTTTTTTATTTAGAAGTTAATCTCATAAAAACAGATTTTCCAATCGAACTTTGGACATAAATGAAACAGTAAGCCGCATTCATCGAGGCCAAAAGCATCAAAAAACGTTCCTAGTGACATTTTTTTGTTGAGTCTCTGAAAACCTTATAAATCAAAACTCGAGGAAACATACTTCAGCATTGAAAGGAGCTTTCATTTTCAAGATATAAAATTATTAACAAAACTGTTCTGATAATAAATAACAAAAACCTAGTTTTCCCATAAATATATCGGCAAGAATTGGGCCCAACGAGCTAACTAGATGTACAGTGGGTTCTGGGTCACGGTACTTGTACTACAATGCAGTCATATCTCTACCTCAATAACACTTTTTGATTGCATACTATATGAATCTATTTGTGAGCAATAAGATAGAGGATTAAATGCCAGCGATATAACTATTCATTCGCCAACACCGTCGTATAATAATTAGTACAAGAGGCTTGTAGATGCTAGTGGAGTTCAACTATATCGGATATGAGACAGTTATCCGCCATATTGGAAGATGTTCGCATAATGCAGTGAGTTGATCGAAATTAAACATATCTAGAGGTTAAGTGCACATGGATGAAACTAAAGGTCCTGAGTTCGGTTTCTGGAAGCAGGGTCATGGGTACCCACAGCCGAGAAGTACCATACTAGGACGAGACGGAAGTCCAGTGCTTCCATGTCTTCAAATATTTTTCTAAGACCCGTTTATGACTTAAACTACCAGATATCTTAAGAATGTATGAACTAAAATCTCTCAATGATTGAAATAAATCGCCCAACTACTGATCAGTTGAAACAAAGTTTTATATTCACTTCTCATTATTATTCAGTTAATAATGATAATGAATGATAATAATAATAACAATAAGAAGAAATAGGAATTTAGAATAGAAGAGGGAAACATGTTTCTAGAAAACAACGATCAGTTATACAATTTTCAAATTAAATTATTTCTTTTTTTCATGAAGATAGTCTTTTGTCTGAGAGTCAACATACATGTATATGAAACAAAATGTACACACGTACACATACATACATACATATATTACTTGACTGTAAAACATGTAGAATGTATGTAATTCATTCGATGCAGTTGGAATTTTAAGTTTTATATTTTAACAACACTGTAATTCATTGAAATGGAAATAAATGAATGAGTGAACTGAGAAGCAAAAAAAGAATTAAAAACCCACTGTTTTCCTCTTAATAATAAAAACAGTTGAATTATATTGGAATTCGTAACAGGAATTCAAAGAGTATCAATGAAATGAAGTTATAAAATAACAAATTATTATTATTTATTCAATATTATTATTATTATTAATTTGAAGTTACATCTAAGACAATAGATGACAAAATTACAAATATAGATGAGAACAAGAAAAATGTATATGAACTACAGAAGATATTTGTCTGCTGTATTTAAGAGTAAAAACACTGAATGGAACTTTCACACGGATACAATGTCATTGCTTCAAAATAAATGAAAAGTATCGTATAGTTTATATTACACATTGAATCGAGTTAAACAACCATTGAAAGTCAAGAAGCACTGAAGGTTGTTTTTGTTGGTATGGAACTTCGCAGTAGTGCACACCCAAGTTTTCAATGGTGGCGTACAGTTAATATGTAATGTAAATTATAAAATTTAACAATTTTTCACAAATCGATCAATTGAAATCATGCCATTTAAATTTACTAAACAGTGTATTAATTCCAGTTGGTAAACTTAAATTATTGAATACAATGAAGACAACTAATTAATGTCAAATTTAAGATCAGGTTGGTGACTATCGGTACCAGGAAAAGTTTCTAACAAAGTGATTTTGAACCAAATGGAAAATTCAATAGACACGCAAATTCGAGATCAACAAACCGGATGCCATAACGACCGGGCGTGCACAAACTAAATTGCCACACTAAGGATTATCGTTGAACAACCAATTTAATGAAACTCGTCACAAAACATCAACTCCATTGACTATGAGGAAGAGTTGACAGTGTGGACGGGAGGACTTTATGGTAAATTCTTCGACAGTGTGGTGTAACTGAGATCTTCAATATCACACGGAATTCATACGACGGACTACAGAGTAAGGTCGTGGATGGAGGATAGCTGACAAATGCATTCCAAGTAAGGACCGGAGTCAGACAAGGCTGCTTACTCACCCCCTTTCTCTTCCCTTTAGTGGTCGACTGAATTACGAAGACCTCAATGTTTGATGGGAAGCACGGAATACAATCGACAGCTTGCATGCAACTAGATGATTTGAACTTCGTAGATCACCTAGCTCTTCTATCCCATACACATCAACAAGTGTGGATAAAAACAAACAGTGTAGCAG